CCGAGGAGGGAGTAGTCGGATGGGTGAATAGGGATGATACGATATGCCGAGTCTATATCTGTTTTTGCCATTAAACACCCGGACCCAACTCTCTAACCATAGTCACTGCCTGGTCGAAAGTTGAATACTGGACAGTCGCTAAACCTTGGTCAAAGAAGTCATTAACCGAATCACCATGTGGGTAGCTCAAATGGTGAATTAACCTATAAGTATTTGGTTCTTTCTTCGGTACCACTCCTATTGGACTAACCCTAAAAGAAGGAAAAGGTGGTTTGTTAAAAGGTCCAGCAATCCTGTGTAAGGATATTTCTTTTTGTAACTTTTCCGAAACTATGTCAGGTAACTGGGAGCAAGACTTCAAATTTTTTGTTTAAAAGAACATCTATTACCTGTAAAACCTAAATGGAAACCCTTTTCAAAGCCAGACAGTAAATAATCAGCAAATTTGTAACCTTGTATCCAAAAAGACAGTGGGCCAAGTTTAATTGGTGTGACAGGTTTGACCTTCAAAAAGTCATTTTGACTTTTGGGATCTATTAGCGGCAACTGGGCCGGGTTGAGATTGCTGGTTTGGTCGGGCAGAAATGTCTTGGTTCTGACCATTTGGGCAGGATTTTGCTGAATGTTGACCGCGACAGTAGCCGCAGATATGAGGGAAGCATTTGATTAAATTGCAGAACCCTCTTCTATTAAACGGCCAGCAGGTATTTGGCAAGAATTCCCCTTTAGACATGGGTTTGCTTTTGCTTTGGACGCGAACCATAGGGGCGGCGATTTTGACGAAAGGGCTGCATGACTGTGGTAGTTGTTGCCCTTACCCAAAATTCGTATGCATCGATCCCAAGGAATCGGAGATTGCTCTCTCAGAGACCTAAATTGGTAATCGTATCGAGACCACGCGCTTGCTATTGTTTTTAGCAGCTAAGTCTCGAACTAATTCCCCATATTTCATGACGGCAGGCGTCTCTAGAGGGAATTTTAGAGCAAAATGGCCACAAACCTCATAAAGGCTGTGGTCCACTGATCTATATTGTAGATCTTTTGTTTTTTGACCGAGGGGACAAGATTAAGTTTACCGTGATGGTCAAAAGATAAATGCATAGTGGATGTATCTTGGTCATGGCCCCAAGATACCGGCAACAACGAACCAAAATCTACAAATTTATTCTTCCATATTCGTTTTTGGATTCGTTTGGAAATTTGGGAAGAAATAGGGGAATCTAACGGGGAAAAGGACTGTCCTTCATTACGTGTTAGATCAAGGACATTAGATTTTAACACATCATCTAACAGATCATTGTCACTCTCTGATGAGCTTGCGGAGGTTGATGAATCCATGCCATCGCTTGAATCTCTAGTTGGGGGAGGAGACCTCTTTCTTTTCTTCTTGGTGTTCCTCTTTTGCCCCCTAGGTGTACGCCCCCGTCTTGTCGTAGTTATAATGTTCGAATTACTATTTTCTTCAGCATTAGAATCTGAATCTGACTCTGAATCCATGTTTACTGAATTTGGTTCAAGATTTGAAGAGTTAACTGACACAGTTTCATTTGTAATGTTTTTGTCATTAGTGTGCCTGGTCTTGTCCTGAACACTGGTACCCGCCCCAGAAGTTTCTACTGGTTTATCACTATCCGTGCAGCATGAAGCTGAACATCTTGATTTTGCGGCAGCTGCCCTTCGTTTCCCACGCATAGCTGAAAATGTAGTAAAGATGTTATGAATGTATGAGCTTAATGCTGTTTACCTATGAAATTACAGAACTGTCTCAAACTGGAACTAGATATGTTCCGACTATTTTCTGTTTGAAGGGAAAAGCATTTCTTATTCTTAAAAACTGAGCGCCGTGTGCTATGATTGCCATAACTTGGGAACCACTCTATACTAAACTACTTGAAGATATAAAATCACCTTCGAATAGTATCAAAATATACATAAATATACGTATATCTGAAGTGATCAATTCTTCCTATCAAATGCGGGACTGCACGTCAATTGATAATCTCGGGTACCAGCCCGGAATATATGTACTTAAATAATAAAAGGGGAGAAAACACTGGAATCTCGAGATATTGATTCCCGGAAGTAATTAAAAACCTGTACATATATGTGTCTCATATAATAAGTTTTTGATATTCAATTATCACCACAACAAGAACAAAAAGATTTAACTATTCAAGTGAATAGTCTCGGGTACAAGCCCGGAACTTATGTGATTTAAATGGCAACTAATTGTAATTTTTTATCAATGGTCACAAAATTTCCTAGGCAGTATAAATTCCTGTACATAGTTAATATATAGTTATAATGTAGCTAATTCATATTAAATTATTAACAATACAATATATATTTTTGAGTAAATAGTCTGGACATATGTACCTAAATGACAAAATTGTTAGATACTGACAGCTCAAACAAATATCTCGAGAATAATTCTCGGAAGTTCCTAGGTACAAGTATTTTATAAAGCAACTTAATTATCTCGAGACTTATTCTCGGAAGTACATAGGTACAAGTAATTTATAAAGTGACTTAATTATCTCGAGACTTATTCTCGGAAGTTCCTAGGTACAAGTATTTTATAAAGCAACTTAATTATCTCGAGACTAATTCTCGGAAGTACATAGGTACAAGTAATTTATAACGCTAATTAATTATCTCGAGACTTATTCTCGGAAGTTCCCAGGTACAATATCTTGTAACGTTAGTTACTACAGACAGGCAAGTATCAAAATCTACAGTACTATTTCAAGAATAGTCTCGGGTACTAGCCCGGATAAGAAACATAATGTCACAAGTGCTAATGCCTGGGAAATAATAAATCGGAGTCTCAGGAGCAAGCCTGGATAACATGTTAGCCAATAATTTAATAATACTTCTAATTAGTTAAAATCAGTAGTAACAACACCAGGGCAATTTTGCAAATAAAAACATGTCTATGTGAAATTCGTTAGTTAAAATTGCTTTCTTGAATTACACATATTAACCAAAATGGTGGTAGAATCTAGTGTTATTAACGTTGTATAAATTAAAATTGAGGCCCAGGTTGCAAACCTTCGGCTATTTCACATTTAAATGTTTCGAAATTTTGAACAATCGCAAAATACCATCAGATTTTCTTAAAACAAAATTATTTCGATGTTGTACTTCTGATATGATATAGAATGTAAAATATGTCAATTTGGCCTGGTCCAATTGTAAACGCCATTCACTAATGGTCTTTGTCTATGTTACACTTGTTTTACAAACTTAAAACAAGTCAGAAATTATAAAATAAAGCTGAACAGAAAATAATACTCAACTGTCTAAAACAGACTCACTGTACTCAAGTATGGAGTAATAAAACGTCTGTTCGATGGTGCCCACCAGCGGAGGAATGGAGTAATGATCTGATGATGGCGTCCTTTGTTAAAATCCGTGCCGTGGAAATCGCAATCTGTCAATATTTTGCTAATTTGTCAGAAATTTGACCTTCCAGAGGCAATTGTTTATCGTTCACGAGTTAAACTGTAAATCCAAGAAGTCCGAACAGCATTTAGGATAAATGCGTCACTTTAATATTCTGTTGTTGATCGTCACTGACCCAGATCGACACAAAGGAAAACAAAACTTCGCCTCGTAAATCCTTCCTAAAATTGGATGGCACCAAAATAATCCTTGCTTGAAGTAAGATTTAGATGTACAAAGTACTTTTTTATTATCTGCTCGTAATTATTTTACGTAAATACCAAGAAAACTAAATTTTCATGTGAAGCTATCAAAAGTTGTACAGGAATGAAAGCCACGCGCTTTGTTTCTTTGTTCAACGAAATTACTGAGTGCGCATGTGAAACTATATCCAAATATAGACATGCGTTACCCTGTTAGCTTACTGTAAATATTCTTAGCTGTACATACTATACAATAAAGAGGACGGCTGCATTGTAAATACCCTAAACCGTAATTACTATAACACAAAGAGCAAGGTGCTTCCGCCAAAATTATATTAACCACCTCGGCCATAAATCATTTTATGATAATAAAATATATTTATACACTTTAATTATCATTGTGATTTGTGAAACTCTATTTGTTTTAAGTCATAAATGAAACAAAATCAGAGTTTAAATTGTCAAACGTACTGGCAGTAACGTTGTGCTAATAGAATAAAAATAGAAATAATAGTTGTAAAGAGATTATAGAAAACATATTATTTCTGTTGTAAATTTGCAATAAAAGGTGAAAATAAAAGAGCTTCTGAATGAAAATACAATGTGCGCCTTTGTTTTTTAAACTTCATTCAAACAGAGAGAGAATTCGGTTGATGGACATTTAAAGAAGAATATACATTCCTAATTTGATTATACTAACTGTGAATTGTGCTTCACGAGAACATCAACATCAAGGAAAGCTAAATACTATTTTGATTAAAGGGTGGGGATGGGGCTTAGATGACGTAGATGGTAGAAAAATCTGGAAACGAAGTGAAAACTCGGAAGCATTAATCACAACAAAACTACAAGAGAATTACAGACTCGGTTTGATTGAGTCTTACAAGAGGGATAATGAATACGTGCAACATCCCTCACGCCCCGTAGCACCGGCTTGAGTGATACTCAGTTCTTAACACTTACTAGTACTGGCATCAATGATCCCGAAGGACCAGAAAAATATAACAACACTGAAGTGAAGTACGGGTCAACTTTTTACAGCTGCCACACAGCACTTGACACCTGCTGTTGTGAAGTATAAAAAATGGAAACGATATGATCCCTCGGAAGCATTAATCACAACACAATTACAAGAGAATTGCAGACTCGGTGTGGGGTATAGATATACATGTATAAGCTTCGCGTTGTGTCTTGTTTCTATCTTTTTAATATCTCAATAATATATACAAGTAAAGCGGTAGTGACGTTGGTATAAACGTTGACGTCATCTTGATTCCCGCCGTCAATACGTCGTTGTTGTTCCCGCCTACACATAGCGTACGTCTTCCCGACATTCTCCCGGCCACGAAATGATTACGATGTAGAAATAATTTCTAATGGGTACATTTTCACAATAGGTCTCGAAGTGACAAATCCATTACTCGTGCGTAAAATTGCTGCTCGTGTGAGGCCATCATTACCGTAAATTAACTGCTGGATTACGCCTAGTTTCCACTGCGTTCTTGGTGATTTATCATAAATCTGTACAACGTCGCCAACCTGAACTGTCTGAGTGTTGTTTCCTGTTGTTTTGTGGTACTGACGCAGTGACGTAAGATATTCGTGACGCCATCGTAAACGATAATGACTGATAAGTTGTGCCTGCATTCTTGCCCTTTTTGTTACGTCAGACATTGTAACATTCTGTGGTTCTGGTGTATTGCCATCATATGGAAGGGATGTAATACGACGTCCATAAAGCAGGTGCGCCGGTGTTAATGGGTCCGGGTCTCCTATATCGGAAGTGACGTAAGTAAGCGGTCTGTCGTTCATTATACCCTCAATCTCTGTTACTATTGTCTGGAGGCTCTCGTAACTAATAAATGAACGACCTAAAACTTTCTTGATGGTGGTTTTTGTTAGTCCAATAAGTCGCTCCCACCAACCGCCAAACCATGGTGCTCGCTTAGGTATGAATCTCCATTCAGTACCATGGCTGTGTAGAGCGTCATTAACTGCCGTTGATCTCATGAGTTGTTGAATAGTATTTGCTGCTGCGTTAAATGTTGTTGCGTTGTCTGATATGGGATTTTCGACTAGTAAATCTTCTAAACGCTTGGATGAAGGTTTCCTCTGATAAATCTGGTACCAGCTCGAGATGGACGGCTCTTGTTGAAGCGCACGTAAATAGACAAATATAAGCCTTATGCTCAATTCTAGAATTGCTTCGTACATACAGTGCTCCCGAGAAATCAACCCCGGTGACTGTAAATGGAGATGTATCTTGTACTCTAATTTTTGGTAGGGGTGGTGGATCTGGTGCTGTATATGGTTTGCCTGTTACCATTCGACATTGAACGCATTTCCGGAGAAGGCTTTGTATATACTGACGGATAGATGGTATCCAGTATCTCTGTCGTAAATGTGTGATCAATGCACTTGCGCCTGCGTGAAGTTGGTTCTCATGTGCGTCTAAAACTACTAACCGTGTGAAAGGATGTTTTGCGGGAAGTAAGTATGGAAATCTGGTGAATTCTGTTACTGGTGCATTGTGGATTCTCCCGCCACATCGTAGAAATCCATCTTCATCCAGGAAAAGTCGTAAATGTTTCACTAGAGTAAGTCGTTTACCATTTGATTTCAGATTATTGATCTCAGCCTGATACTTCAAGAACTGGGTGTTATGTAGCCACAGTCGTTCAGCCTCTTGTAACTCTTGAACGGTTAAAGGTTCGAGTCTTGACACTCTTCTGGCTCTGTTTCTTGTGTGACAATTATGGATAAAACGTTTCACATAGGCAGTCACTCTGAGTAGCTTCTTATAGCGACTGAATTTATCAACATCACTGAGTTGGTGAATTCCTTGAGAGGGCTGTGTAAGGTTCGAACACCTTTCATGGTTTAAATCATCTTCTTTATTTTCGGTTGTTGTGAACAAAATGGCATTGTCATTTGCTTGCCAGCTAGGCCAACTATTAATGTCATGAAGCCATTTTGGTCCATTATTCCATAATTTGCTTTTCTGGTATTCCTTGGCTGACAAACCTCTTGTTAATAGGTCGGCCGGATTCTGGTCTGTTGGACAATACCTCCACTTCCGGTTCTCTGTTATTTCGTGAATGTCCATTACCCTGTTTTGTATAAATGTCTTCCACTTCCGATTAGTCGCTAACCAATGAAGAACTATTTGGCTGTCAGACCATAGGTAGACTGAATGTGCTGGTATAGACTTTAACACGTGTTTTGTAAGACGGGCTCCAATAACCGCAGCCATAAGTTCGAGTTTCGGTAGTGTCAATTGCTTAAGTGGTGAAACACGAGTTTTCGACATGACCAATGTAGACTGTTTGCCTTTGACGATGTATGCCACTGATCCATAGGCTTGTAGACTTGCATCGCAAAATACATGAAGGGAAATTGTATCATCTGCTAGTTCTGTCTGGTTCCCTACATTACCGGAAGTGATTTTTATGTCTGCTTTATCAAAGTAGTATCTTTGAAATTTGTTCGTAATTGTACCATTGATATCTTCTGCTATATTCTGCCACTGTGTCTGTATGGCTTCCGGAAGTGGAGCGTCCCATTCGTAATTCTCTTTCCATTTGACTTGTAGTAGGAGCTTACCTCTTATCGTTATTGGGTTGAAGAATCCAAGAGGATCATACAATTTCGCTGTTTCTTGGAGTATGGTGCGTTTTGTCATCGGATTTAGCCTATTTATAGATCTCTGGTTCAAAAATATTTGGTCATTAATAGCGTCCCATCTCATGCCTAGAATCTTCGTAATTTCGTCTGAATCATGTATATCGTCTGCTTTGGAAAGCGCGCGCAAATGACAGCTGTTTGAATTCCAGGAACGCAGATTAAAGCCAGCAGATGACATCAGGTCTCTTGTATCGTGATAATATTTAATAACCGTGCTTTCATCCGGAAAACTAGAGATAACATTGTCTACATATAAATCTTTTTTCAGTATTTCACTCACCCATTTGTTGTTGTTGTTATCAAGGTGCTTCATAAGTGTAGCTTGTAGGATAAACGGTGAACATGTAGCTCCAAAGAGTATAGATTTGAACCTGTAAGTTACCAAATTACTATCTGGATTGGTACTGTCACTTAACCACAGGAACCGGGTGACGTCACGATCTCTTTCGTCAAGTTGCACGTGCAGGAATGCCTTCTCAATGTCTGTCGAGACAGCAAATCTGTGTAAGCGAAATCTCATAAGTATATTGGTTAAGTCATTTAATTCCGGGGGTGTTGATTCTAAACAATCGTTCAGACTAGGGGAATCTTTATTTTGGCGGCAACTACAGTCATATACTATTCGGATTGGGGTGGTGGCTGAATCTTTTTTCACACCGTGATGTGGGATGTAGTGAACTCTTTTATCTATATTGTCGTCTGTAACTCTCTCGATAAAGCCTCGATTTTCTTGTTCTGAAATAATTTGGCCATACTTCTGTAACATGTTCGTATCTTGTCGTAGGCGTCGGATTGTATTTTCCGTTCTTTTAAGAACAATGTTATAATTGTCAGGTAACACCGGATGGTCACGTTTCCATGGTAACTGTGCTGAATAACGTCCGTCTTTGAATTCAATGCATTTTTCCTGATATGTTGTCAGGTAGTCAGAGGTAGTTTCATCATCTTTTCAGGCTGAATACCTAGAGACTCTAACTTCCAGAAACGTTCTAGGTCATGTGTATCTGGCTTAGATATTAATACATTTAATATGCAGTCTGTAGCGGTATCAGTAGAAGAAACCGGAAGAGGACCGGAAAGCAAGTATCCTATCTTGGACTGGGCAGCTGTGGGACCATTGCCACGGATCACTCTATTACTAACAATACCAAAGTACTTATCTGCACCAATCAGAAGTGATATATTGAAAGTGTCGTCATCTGTAACCGGATGCGCAAGTTTAAGCCCACGAAGATACGGAAGTGCTGTTGTGGCTTGTTGCAGGTTTCTTAAGGGGACGGAAATAGTTGGGACAATCAGGACATCTATAGCTATCTTTTCTTTGGTATCAGTTAATAAATATACTGTTGCAGTATCAATATGACTTACTTCCTTTGAAGATGAACCAAATGCTGCAAGCTCTACGACTTCTGTTCCCGTTCTTCTGAGTTCGAGTCTTTCTGCAAGTTCCTTTGTTACAAATGACCTCTGTGCCCCTTCGTCAAATAAATGTTAACATCTGTACAAAGGTAACCAGATGCAACTCCAGATGTTACTTTCGCAACAGCGGTTTTCAACAAAACTTTAGGTCTAGAATGTGTAGTAGAATGTAGTATTGCGGACTGATCACTGGAACCGGAAATGATTTTGGAACCGGAAGTAGCTTGATCTCTTAAACCTGGAGTGTAACTTGGGGCTGTAGCATTCAAATTACTATGTGGGGTTAATGGCTGGGGATTACTGTCACAGATGCTAGTGTGGTGTTTTCGCCGACAAAAACGGCATCGATGGTTCGATTTACATGTAGCTACTTGGTGGCGTCCTAGACAATTAAAACATAACTTTTTCTCTTTAACAATTTTCTTACGTTCAACAGTATTTGTTACCTTCCTACAGTCATTTGCTAAGTGATTGTCGTCGCAAAAAACACATCTCGGACGTTCCGCTCTCTTTTCATTCGTCGTCTGCTGCTTACGTGCCCCATTCGGATGAAATCGTGTCCCCGTAAGGAATGAAGCGGTAGCGTTATGAACTTCACCTGTATGTAAAGATTGACCTGACTCCAGAATAGCGATCTCCTTTTTCAATGCTTGTCGTAGTTCCGGAAGTTGCCAGTTACTGTTTCCATGGTCACGAGTCATGTTTTGTTTGATTTCAGCAGGACGTTTTGCTAACACAGGGATAAGTAGATTGCCATAAGAGTCTTGACCTTGACCAAGTGGCTGCAAACCTCTAATGTATGACTCCATTTTCTCTTGAAAATTTAGTAAACTATTAATGTCAGAGTAAGGACGGGGTAAATATAATAAACACTGCATGTAAGCGTTTACAGTCCAAACGTTCTCACAGTAACGCAACTGCTTTTGTAAAGTTTGAATGCGTTCACGGAATTCTCTGAATCAGACTAGCTGCATTTCGTGGAGTAAATATGTAAGATAAGTAAACTTCTATACGTCAGATAAAGATACGTTATTGTGTACACTTGACTCAAACGAATCCCAAAATGTCTGCCATTCTAAAATGTTGCCGGTAAATATAGGAAGCGTAAGTTTCGGAAGTTTGTGAAATTGAGAATACTGTCCGTTATGTATAGAAATGTCACTTACATGTCCATCGGAAGTACTGTTGGTCGTGTTACCGGAAGTGTTCTCGGAGTGATATGCGATGTTGGCACTGTTATTCATAGGCGGCTCATCTAGCGGGGGATCTACGGGATTGAGCAGCGGCGGTGGTATAACATTACCGGAGGGTTGTCTCTGTTCTGCTTCCAAGTTTCGGATTCGAATCTTTAAATCTAGCATGTAATCTTCTGTTTCGACCATCTCAACTTCGAAATCATCCTCGTCGGTTAGAGTAATAATCCTCTCATTAAGCTCTTCAAGTGCTGCAACTTTAGACTGTAAATTATGAAATATCGTCTGGAACTGAACGCAATCATCAGTAGAATCTTCTAACTTCTGTAAATGTCTGGAAATAACAGCTTTCTGAGCGTCTCTCTTCTTTTTTAGCTTATTAAGATCCATGTTTGTCTGTAATTTCTCACTAGTTCGTCACGGCACCAAAATGTGGGGTATAGATATAAGCTTCGCGTTGTGTCTTGTTTCTATCTTTTTAATATCTCAATAATATATACAAGTAAAGCGGTAGTGACGTTGGTATAAACGTTGACGTCATCTTGATTCCCGCCGTCAATACGTCGTTGTTGTTCCCGCCTACACATAGCGTACGTCTTCCCGACACTCGGTTTGATTGAGTCTGTACATGAGGGATAATGAATACGTGCAACATCCCTCACGACCCCTAGTTCCGGCTTGAGCGGTACTCAATTCTCAACACTTAATAGTGCTGGCATCAAATGACAATGATTCCGAAGGACCAGAAAAATATAACAACACTGAAGTGAAGTATGCCCCGTACTCGGTTTGTTTTAGTCTGTACATGTACATTAGGGATAAAAAGTTGCCCCAACTATTTACAGCTGCGACACAGCACCTGCTGTTGTGAAGTATAAAAATCTGGAAAAGAAATGATCCCTCGGGAGCATCAATCACAACAAATTACAAGAGAATTGCAGACTCGGTTTGATTGAGTCTGTACATAAGGCATGATGAATACGTGCAACATCTCTCACTCCCCCTTGCATCTTAATACACTAAACACCTTCCAATCAAACTTGCAACACGCTTGCTTTTTTGAATTCTGTTTTTCTCTATTGCATGGCTAAATCTAACTTACGCATCGTTTTGATGTGAAAAAAATTAACTATGCATCAAAACGCAATCAAATTGGTGTTACTTCGATTCTAACAAGATAAAATAAGTGATCTACTCTATTTTTTTTTTCAAACGGAGATTACTTCAGGTGCCAATGTTTGCATAACGCTGTTGGATTTCGCACCCTATTGTTGTTAAGATATAGAAATTATTTAACAAAATAAATAATAAGAAAAACATTATTTTATCAAGTTTTCAAAAATAAAAACTTACGTCGCAGACTAGATTGAATTGTGTTAACATAGATAGATAGATTTATTTCAGTATTCAGTAAATAACATGGTAAAAACATATCCAATACGACATCAGTGTTTAATTCATAATACTCTTGTTTGAAATAACGTTATTCTAGCCCGTTTATGAATGTGTTGTTTACATAGGATGACGTCATTACGCTGCTTATTATTTTAATTAAAGAGAAAAAAAAAACAATAAGGTGATTTGATTAGATAGCTTTTCAATCAAGCGCGTATCTTGAATACAGCAACGCGTCGAATGACTTCCGCCATCAGGTAATATGTTTAGCCCATAAGGTAAGTTTTAAAGCAATATATAGAAGATATTAAATGAGTGTAGGTTTAATACTAAATTTATGGAACGAGTTGAATAAAATCATATTATGCGAGCCTCTGGTGAGCATTATATTTTTTATTCAACGACTTCAATAAATTTAGTAGAGAAAATAAGACCGGTGTCGCGTAATAATCACACGGGCGTAATTTTACCACGGTTTACACATGTTTTTTAAAACTTGCCTGTAACTTTATTTACAAACAAAGTGCTGTGAAAATTGGTATAAATCTTTAGCATAGAACAATTATTTCGGTGCATGTATTTGACTATTCTGACAGTATTTATTTTCTCCAAAATATATGCGTGAAATTGAGCTAAATCGCCAAATTTTGCATCTTTCGTAGGGCATTTTTAAAAAACTATTAAATTCATGAAAATAAATGCTTTTAAAACTTGTCAGGGGTGTTAAACTTTGTTTCTTGTCCATTGTTTTATTTCTAAATTGGCTAGAACTAATCTGAAGCTGTAGTTGAAAATGGCCAATTTCTCCGAAAACTAGGTCAAATTACCCGAAAATTTGTCCCAAAGGGTACTATAAATTTAAAACTTGTCATTCATTATCATACACATTTATTCTTAAAAATAAAGGTCTAATAACTTGCCAGATATTTTAATTTTCACAATTCAATAATTGTTTTTAATCAACAAACGCCATAAATATAAATAACACGATTGAAAGCGGCTTGTATCCTTCGGCCGTTTTTCAAAATTGCGGACAAATTCTGTTAAAATGTGATCTATATACTTTCTTTTAACTGATTAGTACATATGCGTCATTATATTGCATTAACTTTGATATCAAAAAGTTAAAAAACGTTTCCCCAACTCAACAAATCATTTAGACAAAAATGACAATTCAAATTAACAATGGAACTCCACAGCTTTACTGCATTTAAGTCAGCTGCCATTTTGCCAATTGTGGATCACTTAACTATGGTGTCTGATTTGTGCCATTTCGTTATTTTGTTTGGTTGTGATTGTTACAAGTAGCAAAACCTTAAAGAGAGACAGAATGAGAGACATATAAAATAATTTATTTTGTCACACACCTTTTTACCTTTTTCAGTTTTTTGTGAATATAGGCCCTTCAACCGCAACAACACAAAAAAGATAAAATGATTAGAGGGGACACATTTTTTCCATGTGTCATAGGGTGAGAAAAATGTGCAGCCTGACTGGAACTCGAACCCGGGACCCTAAATAGTGAACACTTCTGAACACTTCTGAACTGTGACATACTCCCCTGCTATATTGAAATTCTTCCTCGAATTTCACAAAGTTACAGAGAAATGTTAATTAAATTCTGAGGTAATTATTATTCAGTCACGGTCCCCAATTGGGCGCAAAGTGTCAATGGGTGAGAAAAATGTGCAGCCCGAGCAGAAATCGAACCTGGGACCCATCTTTTATGACTGAATTCCATTTTAAGGATGATGTCATG